ATCTCCCCAAAACCCCAAAACCCCAAAACCCCAAAACCCCTTTAAAATAACCAAAAATTGAACTTTAGCAATTTAAATTTAATGCTAGGAGAGGTGAAGCTTATCACTTCATGGGTCAAGAGAATCATAATAGCTTTACTTTGAAGATTTTATATGATTTTCTAGTCCTGCTCTGTCTTGATTCCTGGTTCAAGTACTATGTTAGAATTATTAAACCAAGTTACGAGAATATTTGATTATATCAATTTTCAAGAAAATGTGCTGCATTGATTCCTTACTGTATTTTTGTGAGAGCATCATTTGTTGTTAAATCTGAAGAACTTCTTAAGCTTTCATACCTTTTCATACTCAGCGATATCTTTATCAAGCTCATTCTGCTTTTTACTATTGGTGAGTCGAAAATTTCCTTTGAAATTTTCTTTAACCTGAAATATTTGCATTTCTTTGATATAATAGATCAGAGGAGCTTTCTCTATGAACCAGACAAAAATGTATTATTGGCTCATTGATAAGGAACATCCTACGTTTAGAGGCCTAAAATAATGACCTATTCTCTTGTTTATAGAAAATTCAATAATCTTTATCTTTATACCACTGAAAGTTCATAGTCTTTGTAAATAATTGAATAGATTATAGAGTCTATTTCCTATTCCATTTCATTGCTAAATTATACAGAAGTAGGGTTAATTTTAATGGAGCTCCATTTCCTTTTGCTAAAAAGCCAACGTCTCCTCTGATTTGAAGATTATATAATTTCTCAATAATTTCAGTTCCTCTTTTAGTGATGAACAATTTACTGGAGTGAGTGGTAAACTTGGTATTCTTGGTTGAAAAGATTCACTATGAGATTATAGACTCAGTTCCAGTTGTCAGTATCCTTTTCCCATCAAAATGCTCAGTTCCATTTTCTTGAAGAGAGAAGCATGAAACTGTGAGCTTAAGAAACAGTCAGTACTTTCAAACTTAAAATGTTTTTAAAGAGTATTCAATAAAATATAATTTACAAGGGGTTTTGGGGTTTTGGGGTTTTGGGG